GTTGAAGAAGAACTGGAGGAACGCGAAGCACACGATGAACGCGGGCGTGCTGAGCGTGGTGAACTTTCCAGCGAGGATACCGACTGATCAGTATGCGCGCAGAAGGTCAGCGACCCATTCCGTACGACGACAACGAAGAGGGCAGTACGCACGGAAGAGAGCGGCCATGAGGAAACCCTGGATCTGGATCCACTTCCGGCCAAGCTTCTCGATCGTAAGGATGGAGACGTAGTACCCAGGAACGAAGCCGAGCGCGGTGACGATCAAATTGCCAACGCCGATCTTGAACAGCCTGTTCCACGGCGAGCCGTCCTTGCCGTCGAAGCCGATCTGCTCGAGCACAACGTTCTGGTTCAGGTTCACGCCGTAGAACGCGATGTCGAGCAGGAACCAGCACGTGCACGTCCCGAGGAGAACCTTCAGGTGACGCCACTCCGAGAAGTACGCGAAAAAGTCCTTGAAGTGGCCCTTCTTCGCCTCTGCGAGCTCCTTCGCCCTTGTCTTCGATGCAGCCGCGGCGGACTCGGCCTCCGTCGGGGTGCGCGTGCCTTCTTCCGACGAGCTGTTGTTGTCCGAGACGACCTTCTCGGCGACGCTGGGGTCCGCGTTCGACTTCTTCTTGAGCTCCTCGATCGACTCCTCGTCCTGGACACGCTGCGCTGCCTTCCGCGCCTCGGTGTAACGCGTCGACTCGGGGAGGGTGAGGCGCTGGTACAATGTGCCGAACGCCGGGATGAGGGAGATCCCGATCAGGATACGCCACACCCCGTCGACCCTGCTCGTGTGCCCGTCGACGTCCATCGTCTGCTTGTAGCACAGGAGCACGATGATGGTCGCGAGACTGCCGACGAACGAGCCCCAGCCCTGGTTCGCGAAGATGTAACCGAGGAGCGTTCCGCGGCGCGCGAGGTTGGCGCGGTCAGTCGCCACGGATGCAGACATGGGGTAGTCGCCGCCAATGCCGATTCCGAGGATGATACGCCAGACGCCAAGCCAGATGAGCGTACCCGAGGGGGAGAGAACGCCTGGACAAAATGCGAGGTGAGCACACAGCCCGCGAAAGTCAAGAGGTGTGGGCATACCGGTCGGGTCGCAGATCGTTCCAATGGTCGCAAAGATGATCAGCATGAGCTCCTTGCCGTCTGCGGCGGTGTCAGCACGTGGGCCCATGGCGAAAAGTTGACCGAGCTACTCACAGACAGCTTTCCGACCGAAGTAGTCGGCCGAGTAACCTAAAGAACGACTGGTCAGTATCCAGGACACCAGGAATTGATCATGTGCGCTCGGCTGCAAAGCCCTTTCCAGGGTTCAAGCGCGCCAACAAAAGTCGGCTTGTGGCGCGGCGTCTCGTCCACCGGGTTGCGCAAATTGAACAGTCCACGTCAAGACGACACCCCCCCCCCCATGCCAAGCCGACTCAGCGGACTCGGCACCAACACCACAAATGGTGAGGCGGCAACCACTGCAGAAGCTCAGAGATACTTGCAGAGTCGACGAAGTTCTCCCAGTGCGGACGATCACAGCTATCTGAAGGCGGCGCATAGCGTGACTGCCCACCCTCCGCCCGCCGTCAAGGCGCTACGGCCCGCCCTCGAGCTCGTCATCGGTCTTTGCACGGCACTGTAACACGTATACTGCACAAGCGGGCCGTTTCCCCCGCCCGAGTGTCCAACGGTCACTTTCTCGCCGCACATGCCGATATCATCAAGCTCCTCATGAACCTCTATGCGACACCGCTTCGAGATATTGGCGGTCCGACCACTTGGACGTTGGCCACACTTGAGCGGTGAAAGCGTGAGGGCAGGCCCGGCCGTCGTGTTCTCCACGATGATTTGTCTCACGACTTTATGGACGGTCCGAAGGCGATGGCAAGACCGCAATTGGCAGCGAGGGATTCAAGCTCGCGCCAAGGGAATTGAGCGGACTCGGCCACAGCGGCCGAAGATAGTCCATGGCATGCATAATCGATTTGAATGTCATTTGCCTTCTGAGTATGCATGCCATGGACGTCTAAAAGGGTCCGAAAATCTTCTCAAGGTTCCTCCGGCCCGAGTGAAAGACCCTCCACAGACGATGGCATGAGGGACAGAGCGATAGAGAAGTGGACGTACCGAATGCAAACTGTCCGATCACACTGCCGATGTTCGCCCCGGCCTTGACGAAGCCCTCGAGGTTTGGTGGTAGCGGCTGGCCACCATACAGACGGTATTGAAGCATCGTGGCAACCGGCTGAAGGTGATTCGCGGTCAGAGATCACAGACGCGCTGTGGACGGGGATGGGGCGACATACGTTGATGATGAACAAATCGTAGGCTTCAGGGCCGTCAGATCTTTTGCAAACTACTCGTAACAGCATCGCACGCACCATCTAGGAAGAAGCCAACCTGCAGGAGGCGAGATGGGGAGGTGAGAGGTGGTCGTGTGACCGATGGTAGGCGATGGACGTACCCCGGCGATGCCCAAGAGCTTGACCTCGCGATAGGACAGCAGAAAAGGATAGCGGACCTCTCCTTCCCTCTCGAAGTCCTCCAGATTCGACTTGTGGACGACATGCTGCTCGTCGTTGGCGGGGGCCTCGGACTTGTGCGCGGACATGGTGGTGCGGGGAAACGGGAAAAGACAGATGGTCTAGGGGGTGTCGTCTAGGTTTTGTCTAAGTGAGCGTAGAGTTCGGAGCGGGGAGAGTTGAGGGCGGTCGTGATGGCAGGACGCACGTTCGTCGACAAACTCCAGAACTCCACTCGCGGGGGGTCCACTCGGAAAGAGACAGAGACCAGCAGGCGCCTCGTAGACCTGCAAAATATGCACGCGGGACTTGGCGCGCGGCGCACCGACATCTCCGGCATCGCCACTCTTCCGCCTCACCCAGCTGCCTCCAGGCAAGGTCGAGCTCGCAAGCCTCGTCTAAACCACAACGTCGTTCAGCGATCGTCGTGTAGTAGGAACAGAGTGACGTCAGGATCCTGGAGTGGGCGTTGGGGACTCGGATCGCCGCTGCCACACGGTGTGAACGGAACCTTAACTCGACAGCACCGCCGCTACGGACACCAACTTGGGTATGTGTCGCTCTACACTTGGTCCGAACTCTGGCTAACCTCGTGTTCCAGTTCTCCGCAATGCGGGTGCAGTATCAACTAGCCATGCAGGCTCAGACGCATGTAGACCCGTACTAAACTTGCAGATCTTCGCAGTTCACTCGCCGGACCGACAATGCGCATCACGGCAGCGTCTTAACTTCGTTTACGCATCAAAGGTGAATAGTCTGTTGTTTTACGCAATTCCACGTTTTGAATCCAGCTCTCAGGAGTTGCAGCTGACACGTCAGCAGGCTGAACATCCGCCGTGTCACAGCAATGTTACCGTCGTACTCTGCTTGAAGAATCGTCTTGGTGTGTTATAGTCATGGTCCTATCCCGACCGTCTCATCCGCTATACATCTCGGCGACACAACATCTAGCTTCTGCACCAATGTAACGACCGCGTCAATCTGGTACGTCCGCATCGAGTCCCAACTCTTACATCACGATACTACTGGTATATCCCCCAGTCTAGTCAAACGCACATATGACCGCACGCACGTTTCTCCAGCTCCTCGCGGAATGTGTGGAAGACTATGACGTTCGCGGTTCCACGGGCGGACTACCTCCACCTGTCCAATTCAAAACTCGTCTGAACTAGGACTCTAACGGCGACCTCGAACACCAGCACAATACATGTTCACTCGCGATTGCGCCGACTCGCGGTCGCTTCTCGCGCAGTATTTTATGGATACTCACATTGGACGTCGTCACAGCATCCGCCCTACTAGTAGCTACTGCACCCGCTCAGCGCTGTTCTAGACGAAATGTTGACAGCGAGAAAGAAACCGACCAATCTTGACGACACATGGTTCCACCCTCTGAGGCTATCCATACTCGGATCGTCATGAGTTCTTACACCGCTGTCTCCACAAATGCTGATCGTATGCCTAGTATCAGAAGACCCACACGCCCACTTCACCGGGCACCATAATCTATCGCTATTCCCGTGAAGAATCGCGGCGGTGAACTACTGTCGGCACAAGATGACTCCGCTTCGACATCTGCACTGTCCTCTTGTGGATTTAGTCTCCTCTTCCCGATTCTCTCTGCGATGCTTGGACACGAGTCCGAGATTCTCTGAACGTAGGAAGAACAACATCTCAGGTCACGATCAACGATTTTCAGATGATTCGTCGTCACGCGTCGGCTCACCAATTGGACACGGACGTGACTGACTCCAAGCCGAGCTGCAACCTGCACGTATTGCGCCGACTTGATAGGAGAATGACCTCGAAATCCCCCTTGAGGGCTTCTTTCTGACGGAGGTTGATCCAGGTTGAAGCGCGATTGACGACATCCTTCCAACTTGCTTCGAACCTGCCAACGCGACCAAGTCATGTCTCCCGCGACAGCCCAGAGAGGTAGTGAGTCACTCGTGTTCTCTGCCATGGTGAGCTGACAACGATGTCTCCTCTCCTGCCAGGATCAAGCAAGCACCGACGCAACCCTGGCGACGCAGCTTGGCCTTAGGCTCGTCCTCGCCCATCACTCTTCCCCGCCGCGGCCGATCTTCCGTCAATAGTCTGTCATACTGTCATACGAGCTTATCATTGCTGGGGCGCGCGTACTCGACTTCCCGGACACGGCCAGCGCGTTCTGTCAGCGATCATTAGGGTATGTGCTTTCCTCGGCAAACGGCCTCGAGCTGAAGGTCGCTGATTCGTACAATATGCATGCTTGGCCCTCCGGGAAGCCATGACGCTCCCAGTCTCTCGGTTCAGAGCGCTGACACTCTCCTTTATGAGATGCTAGGCGCGAGACTCGAGCATACTGACGTCGGAGTGGGCTACAGTATGCTTCCGAGATGGCGACGCAGTCTCTGATATCGCCACCCTTGGCTTGCACTTCGACGGATATACTTAAGTAAAGAGTGCAAGTAGAAGGATCGATTTAGGAGGCAACATGAAGCCCAGCTGGTATGCTGATATGGCCGAGTCGTTAAGGCGAGTGATTTGAATTTGGTTCAACTATCACTTGGGCGTTGCCCGCGTAGGTTCAAATCCTGCTGTCAGCGTCGTTGTTATCCCTCCTTTTTCCTGGTCGGTCTCTGACACCTCAAGTTTATTTCTTCGCTCCTGGTGATGTCGATGAGCATGCCGATGATTGCGAAACATCGCAGAGCGACACCTCGCTAATATATGACGCTGGGATGCAGACTCCGGCGAGTGAGGCCGGCTGCGACCATCATGCCGATGCTGTGTGAAACGAGCGGCCGGAATTGGCAAGCGATTGGGACTCCGCTGGGCTGGCATCTGCGGCTGGACGACGGGAAGGACGCTCAAAGGCACTCGCCACCGCCCTCCGTCGTCGCCGTGCTGCGACCCCCTCCCGTCGTCCCCGCCGTCCCAGCAACCCTCCCGCTCGTTTACTGCTTTCTTTGTTTTGTCGACCGACGCCTGAGGGTGGGTCGCCATGCTCCGGTTGACCTCGGACCACTTCCCAGTCTGTGAGTACCCCGTCGCGAACGAGGAGCTTCGTTGCTGACACTCGTCGTCAGTTGTACCATTCGGGGTCATTGGGTGAGCACATCTTCTTATATGCTACGGGACGCTGCGGGTTTTGTCTGCGATGGAGAACGAGGACGTCGCTAGTTTCGGGAAGAAGCTGGCAGCGGTGGGCGAGGTTCTGCGGTGATCGCCCGCGCAAGAGGGTATCTTTCCATCACTTCTGCTACCTCAGGCCCCCGATAGACGTGGGCGGGCACCGATGGTGGGCTGCGTCGTGCACGCTCGCGGCTCGTCAACTCGATGCCCGGGTTTCGTCACTCCGATGCAGCGGGTCGGTAACAGGCCTCACCGCCCTTCGTTGTCCCACATCCTCGCCGTGAGCTGTCTGCTGGCAGTATTTGGGTCTCTCGTGTCTCTCGATCGACCCTCTCGTAGCGTCAGCACATGTGGGCGGGCGATGGTGGGCTGTGTTGTGCGGGCTCGCCGCTCGTCACCTCGATGCCCGGGGTTCGTCACTCGGATGCAGTGGGCGGTAGCAGGCCCTCCCCGCCCTTCGTGATTCTCGCCGCTCGCCGAAGCTCGCAGTGCTAGACCCTCTCGTTCCTCTCGAGACGTGAGCCAGCAGCGGCCGAGGTCTTTCGTTGCTCTGCCACTGGTAGGCGCCCACCTCGTTGTCCTGTTCGCCCCTGGCCTTCAGCTCGCAGTGTCCTTACCCTCTGGGTATGCACGCCTTGCCATATGCCGCGAGTTGCTGCTACTTCGGTGTCAATCGTCCCAGTCGTCAGTCTCCGGAGAGGCCGGCGGCTGTGGACGACGGGCTGTATTCTGCGGTCTCGTCCACGCGAAGAGATATGCCCTCCCGGACGAGCACCAGCTACCGACTGCAGGGTGTCGCGGTAATCGTCGTGATGTAGTGGTCAAGCGCCCGCCGCCCTGCGTTGTTCTCCCGATCATTTCACATTATCCGCGGCCTTGCTGACATATATCCACAGCTTTTATCGATACTTGTGGTACCTAATACGAATTGCCGCCTCCCTCACCTACCGCCCAGTCCCCCTACCCGAGAACCCGACCTACATCGCAGAAGAGGATGTCACCATCATCGTGCCCACCATCGACGCCGGCGAGGAGTTCAAGGAGGCCGCGCACAGTTGGCTTGTCGGCAAGCCCAAGGAGATTCTCATTATCACCGAGGAGAAGATGCTGGGGCCGCTGCAGGACCTCGCGAACGCCGTCGACCCTGAGCGCATCCGCGTCCTGACCGTCCCTTTCGCCAACAAACGTCTACAGATGTCTCACGGCATCAAAAACGTCACTACCGATATCATCGTTTTTGCCGACGACGACGCCATCTGGCCGCCCACCCTCCTCCCGTATACCCTCGCGTGCTTCGAGGACCAGAAGGTTGGCGGTGTTGGCACGTCGCAGCGCGTCCAGCCTGTCGGCAAGCGCATGACCGTCTGGGAGGTTCTCGCTGCGTTCCGTCTGTCTATCCGGAACATCGAGATCTCCTCCTCGACCCACATCGACGGTGGCCTGCCGTGTCTCTCCGGCCGCACTGCCGCGTATCGGACGGTCATCCTGAAGGACCCCGAGTTCTTGCACGGCTTCACGCACGACTACTGGCTCGGGAAGTACCAGCTGAACTCCGGTGACGACAAGTTCCTCACGCGATGGATGGTCAGCCACGGCTGGAGCACCTACGTCCAGTGCTGCAAGGAGGCCGAGCTTCTCTCTACGATGAAGCCGAACTGGCGTTTCCTCAAGCAGGTACTCCGGTGGACGCGTAATACCTGGCGGTCGGATCTCCGTTCTCTGTTCATGGAGCGCCACGTCTGGACTTCGCATCCCTACGTCGCCTACACGATGGTGAGCGCTTCGCGCGTCGTGAACTGTCGGATTGGCTGACATAGAGCTCAGGTGGACAAGCTGTTCAATCCCTTCACCCTCCTCGCTGGTCCGTTCTTCGTCGGATACGTCGTTTACAAGACCACGATTCCTGTAGACCAGGGCGGCTACCATCTGCCGTGGTGGTACGTATCACGCCATTGCGCTACGTGATCCCGTTTGACACCGGCGCCTGTAGGAACGTCATCGTCAGTTACTTCGTCTGGCTGTTCGCTACCCGGACGGCGAAGCTGCTTCCCCATCTCTGGGACCGCCCGCAAGACGTCATCCACGTCCCCGCCTTCATCCTATTCGGGTACTACTTCTCAATAATGAAGATATACGCGCTCTTGACCCTTCACGAGGCAAGTCAACCGTCCTTTCATCGTTCAAAGGGCGATACTGACACTGGTCTTCGTTTCACAGACTGGTTGGGGCACCCGTGCCGGTATCGGCGATGCGCGTGCGGCCACTGCGGCTGCTGATGCTGGGCAGACGACTGGATATACAGAGAAGCTCCCGGACACTCCGAGCTACACTCAGAACCAGTACCCCTCGCAGCCGTACTCGCCACAGCCACAACAGCAACAATACTATCAGCAGCCCGCGGTGGAGATGCAGACGGGTTACGCTCGGTGAGCGACGCGAGGAGGATGTATACGCGATGTGATGACTCGGACCACGACCGCATGTTCCCTGTTCCCCCCCTCCCCCACACGTACGCTTCTTCTGTCCGCTGCCGAACACTACCTCCCCCTCTCCCCCGATCCCGTTGCTGCTGCCGCACACATCCTCTACGCCCGCGCTCATCTACGATATCAGAATATACCCACCGTGTCTAGTCAAGTACCCGGTGAATGGAAATCTAGCTGCGTTCCTACGTCTCTCCTATCGAAGTCGCGCTCATACGTCATCACCATCGCCACGTCGTCGTCGCATATGCATCCTGCTACAAGTACGCGCACGCCGGGTAGTGTGCATGTAATATGTACAGTCTCGGTCCTCCCTCTGACTTTGCTCCTGCCGCTGGACAGTTCACGTTCCCGCGTTCCCCCCTTACCTTTACCTCGACCCCGTCCCCTAGACTGGCCCGTGGGCGGACCTTTCAACCTCGCTTTGTCGGGGCAGCATGGATGGTGTCCATAGTGACCGTTTTTTTTCGTTGCGGTTTACGCGCATACATACATACATTATCTATCTGATTCTATTGTAGTGGCTTTGGGTTATACGGTGCCGTTGCCTTTTAGTAGTACATGCTGTCCCTCTACTTCTGCAACGAACGCAACTGGACGTTGTTTTGGGCACCCCCTTGCGCAGAGTGCGAACATTGGGTCTGTTCTGGTGTGCGGAGACCGGTCGCGACATGAGGGAATACAGAATCTATTCTCGACATACTACGGCCCTGGCTGCAGTCGTCGTCTATCTTTGCGCTGCGTAAGAATACATCGCTATTTGTGTCACTTCTTTTCAGACCCAAGAACATAACTGGTACCCGCACTCGCACCCAAACATAACCATAACGTTAACCCCAACCGCTCACCCACGCAACGCCATTCAAGCTTATCCCCGCAGTTCGCAGCCTCCCACTCTCCCCGCCCCTGCACCGCGAACTTCCCCTAGTCACGGAGCCGCGGAGCTCAGCGCTCACTCCCCGCACCACTTCCGCGCACTCTGGAAGAGCGTGAACCACGGCCCGACGCCCTTCCACGCGTCCGCGAAGCCCGGCGGGTACCAGCTGTTGCTCTCGAGCGCGACCACACGCTCAGGGTGCGGCATGAGCGCAAGCACCCGCCCGTCCGGAGTCTGCACGCCCGTAATGCCCGCGGGGCTCCCGTTCGGGTTCAGCGGGTACACCTCCGCGGGCTTCCCAGCGGAGTCGACGTAGCGCACGCCCACGAGCCCCGCGCCCTCCAGCTTCCCTTGGGCGGCGGCGGAGGCGAAGGTGGCACGGCCCTCGCCGTGCGCGACGGCGACGGGGAGCTTCGAGCCGGCCATGTCGCGGAGGAAGACGGACTTTTGGGTGACGGGCCCGTCGACGACCTCGACGACGCACACGCGCGCCTCGAAGCGCTCGCTGAGGTTCGGCTTGAAGTCGGGCCAGTCCTGGGCCCCAGGGATGATCTCGCGGAGGTTGGACATGAACTGGCAGCCGTTGCACACGCCGAGGGCGAACGTGTCCTCGCGCGCGAAGAAGGCGGCGAACTGCGCGCGGGCGGTCGCGTTGAGAAGGACGGAGTTGGCCCAGCCCTTGCCGGCGCCGAGGACGTCGCCGTAGGAGAAGCCGCCGCAGGCGGCGAGGCCGCGGAAGGAGGCGAGGGAGAGCGCGCCGGAGAGGATGTCGGACATGTGCACGTCGATGGCGTCGAAGCCGGCGGCGGTGAAGGCCCAGGCCATCTCGACGTGCCCGTTTACGCCTTGCTCGCGGAGGATGGCGACCTGGGGACGGCGGAAGAGCGAGCGTGAGGGGTGCGGGGTGAAGGTGAGGTCGTAGTAGAGGCCCTTGTAGGATGAGGACTTGATGAGGTCGTACTCTTCCTTGGACGCTTGTGGATTGTCGCGGAGCGACTGCATGCGGTAGGACGTCTCTGCCCAGGCTGACTGCAGTTCTGCGCGGGTGCTCGCAAAGACTGCGTTGGACCCTGCCGAGAACTGGATGGCCTCGTCCGAGGTGACTTGTCCG